TCCTAATAAAAATCGATTGATAACGCATAACCGCGGTAGATAATTATTATTAATAGTTAATAAAAATTATTTTAATAATTTTTTTTTTTAATAAATAAAAGAAACCGTAAAGAAGTAAAAAAAAAGAGAGAGAAAAAAAAAGAAAAAGATATGTTGGCGACAGTGAGTAGATAAATTGCCTTTTTAAAATATTTTCTTTTCGTGTTTTTTTTTTTTTTTTGTTCGTTCTCTTTCTTTCTTTCTTTTTTTATCTTTTCTTTTTAATCGTTTAATATTATTATTATTATTATTATTTTTTAACGTTAGTCAAATAATAAGTGAATGAATGAATGAATGAATGAGTGAGCGAATGAGTAGAAAAAAAAAATTTTAAACAAATGAATCTTCTGATTAAACACATTATTATTTATTTACTTATTATTGAATTTTTTTTTTAATTTATGAATGAATTGTTATTATTATTATTATGTTTTGACATAGTTTATTATAATCATACTAATATATATTATTTAAAAAAAAAAATATGTGTGTGTGTGCGTGTCACCATTCTTCTTAATTCTAACAATGACCAAAAAAAAAAAATGGTGGTTTTGTAAAAAAATAGGTTCATAAGTTCAATAGTTATTATTATTATTATTATTATTAATATATGGCAAATCATTATTTATATAAAACATAATAAGATTGTTTTCGGTTAGTAAAAAACATAAAATAATAATAATAATAACAAACTCACCGTTTTCCAGTTTGTTTATCAATTCCAGTTGTTATAATAGTTTCTTTAGCTGTTAAATCCATGTACTTAATTCTTATTTCTCTTTCGGAATCTTCTAGAATGTTCCATGCAATGAAATTTTCATTTTTTAATTCATTCACATTATATTGTTTATAATTTTTTTTATGTCTTTTTTTAATTGTTCCATCATAATTTTGTAATTTGAAAAAATCAAAATCATCATTTCCAAACGTTTTATTTTGTAATATCGAATTAGATTTTAATAGTAATAATTTTTTTTTATTATATGAATTTGATTTTTTGTATAAACTCAAATTGTTTGTTTGATTGTTGTTGTTATTTATGAGGGGTTGAATTTGATTAGGATTTAATTTTTTACCCCTTTCCTTTGATTTTAACGTTCCTTTGACGATTTCACCGTCATTATACGTATAATTAAAATTAATTTTTTTTTCTTTTGAAATAACATCTAAATGCATCGAAACCGTCGACACGGATTTATCAATTAAAAAATTAATAAATGTTAAACAAACGAAAAATATTGTTACCCGATTTAAAATCATTTTTTTTTATTTATTAATAATAATAATAATAATTTATTAAAATCTTAAATAAA